TTCAAGGCTGTCTGAGCCCCAAGAGGAACATTGAAAACCAAATGCTATCAATCCTAATATAAGAAGAACTGAAGACAGGATTGGAAACAGACAACTTGTATCACATTAATCTATAAGCATGTGTAAAATGGCTTGAAAATGTCATCTTAGGAAACTTGCCTTTAGAGGTTAATATTTTTACTGTCAAATTACACTTTTGCAACTACATTAGTCATGAATAAAAGAGACCAAAGGGGACTCTCCAAATGTAAAGATATCTTCTTGGGGATCTTGTAAGACATAATTTCCTTCATTTTCTGTTTAGGAAAGCAGCAGGAATTTTATCTGCATTACCAGTCCTCTGTGTTTGCCAAATTGTCGACCCATTGGTTAGAGATGGGAGACTGTGCATTAAACCTCTTCCTTATGACACCTCCCCCAACCCAAGAACTGTGCCACTAAGTTAGAAGGAAAGAACAATACAGAATCAGGTAGTATGTTGCTCACAAAATTCACAGAATATATTGAAATTTTATACCAAAACAGACAAAAAGAAAAACCTAGTGAATTGAAATCTGAACCAACACTTTGTATATACTACTGTTTAGCAAAGTATATTCTAAGGTACAATAGATCCCAAACTATTTAATTTACCTTAAATTTTTGCCAAAAAATAAAAAGGAATAATAGTAGCTATCATGTATTTTTTATTACATAACAATTATTTTCAAAGATTTACTTAGAATCATACCAATTAGACTCTCCAAATATTCGGTATATGAGGTGTTTTATCCCTATGTTACAGATGGGAAAACTGAGGCCTAGGTTAGGCTGCTTCTCCAATGATCACAACAGGCAGATGCAGAGTGTGGGTTCACACTGTGGTTTATGTCAGAGGCCTCCTAGGTACAGTGTGTTGCTGCCTTGCTGCACCCGACACAACGAAAATGTGGCCTTGCCTCCAGAGGACCATAGGCTGATGGGAAAAGGCAAGACCTAAATGCACACATGGGGACCTTTAACCAACCTTGCTGAGATATAATTTATAATTAATATGGTGCATATGTTTAAAGGGTACAGTCCTATGAATTTGATGATGTATATACCTATGAACTCACCCTCCACTCAGATATTCCTGTCACCCTGAATGCCTCTTTTCCATCCATCACTCCCTGAGTTCCTGGCTCTGTGTAACTGCTGATGAGCTTTCTGCACTGTAGAATCACATGTGCACTCTGTGCTTACGAGATGCCCAGGTCTTGCTGGCTGCATTTGGTCCATCCAAACAACAAGAAGGGGCTGTTGCTCACCTTAATTTGAGGTGCCCATGACATCTCCTGCCCAAAGAGACTCTCTGTCCCTCATCCCCCACCACTGGACCACCTCTATAGAGGAAAAAAAAA